TAGATGAGAGAGAGAGAGAAGGAAAGGCGGCAAACGTTAGGAAGAAACATTTTTTTTTTTAAAGATATAGAGGGTATATAGTAGAGAGAGAAGGTGGGAAGTGGTGGTGGAGTTAGGAGGAGTTAGGAAAGAAAAGTTTAGCGAGGAGGAAAATGAGAGAGAGAGGAAAGACTGAAGAGAGCAGAAAGAAGGGAGAGAGAGAAGAGATGAGATCGAGAGAGAGGCAGAGATGAGAGAGAGAGCAGAGAGAGGAGAATGGAGAGATGAGAGAGAGAGAGGAGAGAGAGGAGAGAAGAAGAGAAGAGAGAGAGAGAGAGAGGAGAAGAGAGGAGAGAGGAGAGAGAGAGGGAGAGAGAGAGAGAGAGAGAAGAGAGAAAGAGAGGGAGAGAAAAAGAGAGAGAGAGAGAGAGAGAGAGAGAGAAATTAGAGTGAGACGGAAAGGAGACTGAAGTAACGATATTGATATTAACTGCATATTATTTGAGATCCAAATGACAATATTTAGCATAATTAACAAGGAATTTTTATATGCACAGTGATGAAAAATGTACCATGTAATCAACAGCTTGAAAAATAATCTCTAAAGTGAATTGTCTATCAAGTGTGACTTAATTAAAAATGTTTGATAGAATAAAAGTGAAAAGGAAAGAAAACTGTATATCTTAATGACTACTCGGAACCTCTTACATCGAACAAACATACACACACACGCGCGCATATGTGTTTGTATAGCAATCTATCTATCTATCTATATGTGTATGTATATATATATATATATTTATATATATATATATAGTATATATATATATATATATATATATATATATATATATATATATATATATATATATATCACAAATAATATATATATGTATATTATATATATATATATATATATATTATAATATATATATATATAATATATATATATATGTGTGTGTGTGTGTGTGTGTGTGTGTGTGTGTGTGTGTGTGTGTGTGTGTGTGTGTGTGTGTGTGTGTTAATTCACAAGATAAACATATGCACTTTCATACATCATCTTTTTTCTCTCCTCTTTGCCGCAAAACTTATTTCCTCCCCATTTCCTCGACCTTCCACTACCTCCCTCCAACCCAACCCTCACCCCTCACCCACCAACCCCTCCCCTCCCCTCTCCCATCCGAAATGTCTTCTCCCTCCCTCCCTCCCCATCCCTCACAACATGACACACATATAAGCAACGCCTTTGCTTTCCTCTCCCTTCTCCTCCCTACATGAACTGGTTTTCCCAACATAAAACCCACATACCCAATATGAGACCAACTTAGGCCTACCCAACATGAAACCCACATATCCAACATGAAACCCACACACCCAGCATTAAATCCACATATCCATCATGAAACCCACATATCCAACATGAAACCTACATACCCAACATGAAACCCACATACCCAACATCAAGTCAAACATACACAGCGATAACCTAAACATGAACCCACATACCCAACATGAAACCCACATACCCAACATGAAAGCCCACATAACATGAAACCTACATACCCAACATGAAACCCACATACCCAGCATAAAACACATATCAACATGAGACCAACATAATAACATGAAAACCCACATACCCAACAAGAAAACTACATACCAGCATGAAACCTACATACCCAATATGAAACCCACATATCCACTCAAGCCAACATACACAGCATACCCAACATGAGACCGACGGAACCAACGTAAAAACCCACATATTCAACATGAGACCAACATAAAGCCCACATACCCAACATGAAAACTATATACCCAACATGAAACCCACATATCCACATCAAGTCAACATACACAACATACCCAACATGAAAACCCACATAAACAATGTAAAACCCACATATCCATCATAAAGACCAACATAAAGCCCACGATAGCCAACATGAAAAACTACATACCCAACATGAAACCCACATACCCAACATGAAACCCACATATCCAACATCAAGTCAACATACACAACCTAACCAACATGAAACCTACATAACCAACATTAAGTCCACATACCAAACATGAAACCCACATAACCAACATCAAGTCAACATACCCAACATGAAACCCACATACCCAACATAAAACCCACATACCCAACATTTTTTTTTTTCTCCTTCCCCTAGACGACTACACACGCGAGGAGAGGTACCACGGCCGCTTGCAGCTGCGGAGGAGCAACATGTCCAACATAGAGCGCGCGAGGACGAGGACCCTGCGCATGACGTTCATCATAGTCATGGCTTTCATCTGGTGCTGGACTCCCTATGCGCTGGCGACCCTGGTATGTTGTTTCATGTGGTATGAAGATACTAGTGTTATTTATCTGTTTTTTTTTTTTTTTTAATCTCTCTATTGCTGTTGTTTTTAAGTTATCATTATTTTTGTTCATCATTGTCATTTATTTTCTTTTTATCATTATCATTATTATCTATCGTCGTCATTATCAGTAGCAGTAGGATTATCG